GCGTTTCTTGATTCTCGGCGATAATGGGCACTGCAGAGGGGGGGGTGGGGCATGTGGTTTCAATGCCCCGCCCCTCCCCGTCAAGCGTGCTCGCGCGGCAGTGGCCCGGGGCGCCGCTTGGGAGGGGGGGGGGGGCGTTGCGTTATGGGGTGTGGGTGGTGGGGGTGGGGGGGGGGGGCTGGGGGCCAGAATGCCCGCTGTGCCCCAACCAGTGCAGAAACGCGCCTCAGGTTGCTGCGTCCAAGATTGGAGGCGCTCGTTTGCATTTCGGCGGACCAGTTCAGGACGGCATTCACGGTCCTACTCTCGGCGCTCGGCTGTAGGCCTGGACGGCTTCCGCCTTCGGCGCTGCCAATGCCTGTCTGGCGCGGCTTCTCTCTGCTTGCTCGGGCTGGTCCAGGCTGTCGAGTCCTCTTTATGTTGCCCTTGCAGCTCGGGGCCCTCGTCGTGGCCCTGATCTCATCAGCTGTCCCTGGGTTCCGCCCCGTCGGAATTTCTCAGCCATCTCAGGATCTGGAGTCGCGCGCGCCGGCCTGCGCGGCGGCCTGGGGGGGGCCGACGACGGGCCCCCCTGGGCCGCGGGGAAGCGCCGAGCGGCTACCGACGTCGTGGAGGCATGCGTCTCGTCGGAAGTTAGTGGACATCTGGTCAGGAGGCCGGCTCGGTTTTCTGATGAAATGCTCGAGCTCCACGGGCAGATTCCCGTCGCCTTGCTGGAGTCGCGGGGCCGCGGGCTCAGTGGGGTGCCGATCCGCGCGGCATCCGGTTTTGCGCGGCGCGGCCCCCCGCGCAGCTCTCGGGCGAAGAGAATTATGCGCATGCGCCGATCCTGGCGCCGTCCATCCTTGACCAAGGATCGGTGCATATACCTTCCTGGCCAAGGTAAGAGGGCGTATGCGCCATTCCTGGGCTCAGGATGGGCCCGGCCAGAATCGGTGTATCTGCATAGTTCTCTTTCCTCTAATTTCGCCGAGCTCGGAGTTTTTGCGGGGTGCCCGATCGCGACCGCCATGTTTCAAGTGTTCGGCGCCGAAGTTTCTGGCGCCGTCCGGCTGAGCCTCTGGGCTAAACTCGGTCGGCGCGGCTGATCAGGTTGTTCGAAGTTTGCCGGGCGCGAAGTCATCTTGGCGGCGCGCCGTCGCTGTGGCGGTGCGCGCCCAGATCTCCGCGGGCAGAATTGTGATGCCTTGTTCGAAGGGAACATTTTCGATCGTCTTGGGTGGGTGTCTGGGGCCCTGGTCGGGCCTCGCCGCGACGGCGCGGTCGACCTCGGGATCGACCGCGCTCCGGGGGCGAGTGGGCGCGTCGGAGGTTGGAATGCTGAGGCGAAGCGGCATATGTTCGCTGCTGCGAGGCGCGCCGGGCGCCTAGTCCGCCTGCGTGGAACGCTGGGGTCTCGGGCCGCTGAGGTTCCTATCGCCGCGGGCCCTTTTTGTTGGCGCCCGGTGCGCGTCGGAGGTGCGCGGCGTGCCTGCTGGCGAGTGCCGCAGATTCGTCCATTGGCGGCCGCCGCCGTGAAACCTTGTACGGGCGGGAGATACCTCGCGCTGCTCGACAGCATCGAGGGGGGCCACGCCTGGCGCGGTTCGATCGCACCCGTGATCAGATATTGTCAGGAGCTCTCGCTGCTGCAGACTAGGGCCCCCTGGTGTTTGAGCCGGGGAGGCGCGAGATCATCGTGGGAAGCTGGTCGGGGTAGACCCTCCGAGATCCTCGACATTCTGCGTGGGGCCCATCGGGGCCATGAATTTATTTTTTTCATGAGGTTGGACTGTCGGATTGGTTTCTGACCGACCCGTGCACTATGGTAGACGACCGGGGGACGAGCATTCTTCTCCCCCTCACCTCCCCCGCTCTTATATGGCTTTTTCTGGAGAGCTCGGTCATGGGGGGCGTTGAAATCGAAGCCGGGTCCAAGTGCCACGACGCGGGCCGCCAGTGTCTCGACGTCGCGTGCGCCGCTTTAGCGTCTTCGAAGTTTTTTGGGAAAGAGCCCCTGTCAGGGCTCTGATTTGTCAGGCGGTCTGGTCCTTCAGGGGGGCGGTTGGAGCTGGCCCTTCAGGAGGGCGGTTGGAGCTGGCGACCTCGCGGGCGACGCGTGCTCCTTGCGTGGGCGAGCGGGGGGCGCCGTCGTCCCCTGCCTGTGGTGCTGCCCGCGCCGCGAGGAGACTCGCATCGAAGTGGTCGGCGGGCGTCCTCTGTGCAGGGCTCGCTCGGGCCTCGGCCGCGCGCCGCGCCAGGTGTGGAAGCTCGCCTGCGCGCCTGGGCTTGCCCCCCCTGCCCTGCCGCGGAGGTCCCGGGGCCTCCTTGGGCCTCTCGGAGGCGCTCGACCCCGTGGGTTTCCAGGCCTTCCCCGAGGCCTCTCGGGCCGAGGGGCCTGCGCCTCCGTCCGGGGGGGGGGGGGGTAATAATGGGGGCAGTTTACTCATCGCGTCGCTCACTCCGCCGGCCCGGGGCCCTTGGGGGCGTCTGGGGCTCTTTTGGGGCCTCTTCGGGGCCTCTCGGGGCCTCCTGGGGGCTTGTGGGGGCCTCCAGGGGGGGGCGTGTTTGGGCCGAAGGCCCGACATGTCCGTTCAGGTTCCCCCTTCTGGGCCCGCTCTATTCGGATGGCTCGTTTAGGCGTCGCGCTGTCACGCGTCTTCCCGGGTCGGGCTGGGGCGCGGTGGTGGTCGGTGCGTCAGGGCAGAACCTCTCTCCGATGTGCGGGGCCCTCGAAGGCTACATTCCCCGGGCCAGTGTCGCGGCCGGGTTGGCTGCCCCGGCTTCGGCGGAGAGCGCGTTTGGCTGCCCAGCTGCCTCCTCTGGTGACTGGCAGGCCGTGGTGGATCAGTTCAGCCTGGGCCGCGAAGAGATGGGGGACCAAAAAATATACACCACCACCACCACCTCCCTCCCCCCCTCCCTCTCGCTGGACAGAGGAGAGAGGAGGAATCGACGTGGTGGTGGTGTATATTCTTTGGGCCCCCAAAGAGAGGTTTTCTCCTCGGCGGCCCTGCAGTGACTTTGTGGTGCAGGCGGACGCGTTCGCGGGTTGGCCTCTGCATGCCGCTGTGCAGGCGAAGGCGCGTCGAGAGGATTTGTTCTCCTCCCGCCGCCGAGCGCGCGCGCACTGCAGGTCATATCGGGGCGGGTGGGCAGGGCGCCCGTCGGCGCCCAGATATGGATGACGAGCCACGAGAGGTTTTTTTTTCGTTTTATGTCTGGGAAATCGCAGGCCTAGAGGTTGACGCCAACACCTCTCCTCCTTCTCCTCCTCCACCTCCTCCTCCTCTTTCCTTCTCCTCCTCTTTCCTCCTCGGCGGAGTGCCTCCGCCGAGGGAAGAAGATCCCGATCTCGGTGATGGTGGTAATATTCTGGCTTCCAGGGTGACCGAAATATTTCCGCCAACACCGAAATCCAGGATCATCTTCCCCCTGTGGGGGCAATCCCCCTGTGTTGGTGTTGGTGCCAATTTCCAGGCCTCCCAGAAAAGATGCTTCGAAGGCCGCCGCAGAATTAGCTGCGAAAGTTTTGTTTTTGGCCGCGAGCCGACTTCGGCGGGGTCGAGCGCGCTTCTCTTGGCCACGGCGGGCCTCCTCGGGAGAGGTCCCCCGGAGCGCATGGGGCTGAGTTGGACAACTGCTGGCAACGCAGCGAGTGCCTAGGGAGCTCTCGTGCCTCTTCGTGTCCTTCCCAGGGGTAGGAGCCCAGTCCCTTAAGGTAGGCCCGCAGAAATTGCTTGCCTTTGGGCAAGCCCCTGCATCTCTGCGGACTGCAGCCACGGCAGACTCTTTTTTTTTGTCAGCTCTGTTTTTTTTCTGCACCTCGGGGGGCCAGCTGTGTGGCCCGGTGGGCCCCTGCACCTCTTGTCTCCAGGCTCGCACGTCGGATCCGAGCCGAGGCAACGAGGCTACTTGTGCGAGCGGCGCTCGACGCCAGGACGTCCTTGGCCAGCTGTGCGCTCCGTTCCGCAGTGCCGTGGCCATTTATCTGGCGAGGCGGAGCGAGGTCCCCCAGTAGCTCACTGAACCCCTGTGCGGGATCGCCTGCACCCCCGCCAGGGGAGGCTGTTATAAGCGATCACGACGCGGGGGCTGACGCCGCGCGGCTCGTGCACGATGCCACGGGGGAGGTGGCCCCCGCTCCCCTCGAGCTTCCTCCCCTCCCCTCGGTGGTGGACTGTTCGATGGCTCGCTCCGCGGTCGATCCTGATCAGTACCGTTTCACCGATCCCCGTCCCCATGCCCATCCCCGTCCCGATCCCCACCATCCCGTCGCCCCAGTTGGGGATATGCCCCTCGAAGCCCGAAGGGAGCCGCCTCTATCTCCATCTCGGGGGTAACTCGGCCAGTGGGGCCCAGGCCACGCCAGTGGGGAAAGGATCGGTTAAAGCAGGCCCACCTGCTCCCGAGGAGCTTGAGGAGCGCCGAGCCTCTTGCATCGCAGCATCTCTGCTCCGCACGGTTCGGCTCTCGTGCGGCCTCCCTGCTGCCACCTTGCTCCGGCAGCTGCTGGTCCCGAGGATGGCCCGTCCTCGGACGAGCCTGCGCTCTATAGTTTGCTGCTGCGGCCCTTCCCGAGAAGCTCGCTGCCGCCCTGCGGCGCGCCGCGCGCTTGGCCGGGGGGCCTCTCGCCCTAGGGCTCTGCCTCGGGCCTCTCCCTGCTGGGCGGGGCCCGAGGCACCCGGGCCTGCTCCGGCCGCTTCCGCCCCCCCGGCCCTTCCTGCTTCCGCGGTTGGGCGCTGGGCCTCTCCGCCGCGGAAGGGGGTCTTTGGCCGTGGATGTCAACAAACATTTGCCCCCCCCCCTTCCTTGCCCCCCTGGTCCCTCTCCCCCTCCCCCTTTCCCCCCGGCCTTCGACGTCATCGTCCCTTCGTTCGTCCTGGCCAGGCTTTCGAGCTGCGCGTCCAGCCGCGGTGACGAGAACCTTCCGGAACGGCCCAACACATCCCGAAGCGAAGACCTCGACGTCGTCGAGGGGTGAGGAGGAAATTCTCTCTCTCTCTCTCTCTCTGCGCCAGGCCCATGCGGCGAACTCAGTCCCTGCCGACGCTGGACCCCTCGGGCGACGACAGCAGACCCTCAGGCAGCGACGCCGACGGGGTGGCGGGCTGAGCCAGGGATGAAGAGGAGGAGGAGGAGGAGGAGGAGGAGGAGGAGGAGGAGGAGGAGCAGGAGGAGGAGGAGGAGGAGGAGGATGAGGAACAAGGAAAAGGATGATGATGATGATGATGATGATGATGATGATGATGATGATGATGATGATGATGATGATGATGATGAGGATGATGACGATGATGATGATGATGCTGATGCTGATGCTGATGCTGATGATGATGATGATGATGACGATAATGAGTATGATGATGATGATTATGATGATGATGCTGATGCTGATGCTGATGCTGATGCTGATGATGATGATGATGAACGTGATGATGATGATGATGATGATGATGATGATGATGATGATGATGATATTGATGATGATGATGATGATGATGATGATGATGATGATGATGATGATGATGATGATGATGATGATGATGGTTATTATGATGGTGACGATGCTGATGATGAGGAGGATGAGGATGAGGGCCAGTTTAAACCTAAGAGTCATCAGCGATGTTGTTTTTTCATCCTCCCTCCAAGCTTCCTCTTCATAGGTCCCTACAACGGTTCATTTCCATTGAGGGAAGTGTCCCGTTGGTGGACAACCGTGAACATCCTGACGGGTGCCAAAACATCATTCTCGGGATTTCAACGCCGCGAGTCAATCTAAATGTTGCGTCTTGATGATCCTAAATCGTGCCAGCACACCGTTCCTGAGACTTCAAAACCGGGAATCAACCTAAGTGTTGCGCCCTGACAGACCTGAGTCGGTCCAATACATTTTTTTGGCACGTTATCCATGAGAGTTTGTGAAACTCTTGCAAAGCTTTAGAACTCATATGGGCGGCGCTAGTGCGAGAGCCACATTTCGAGACGGGACCGCCATCAATCTGTGTAGTTCCAGCACGTTGTTGTTTCGAATGTGCGCAGCGCTAAGGCGATAACCACATTTTGAAAAATAGCCGCCCTCAATACGTGAGAGGTTTGCAATGAAAGACGAATGTGCGCGGCGCTAATGCGAAAACCACATGTTGAAAAGCAACCGCCGTCTACCCGTGAAGCTCGAGCATGTTCAAAACAGATGTGTGCGGCCCGAGAGCCATTGTTTGACAACGAAGCTGACCGTCATCAATTCGTGAAACTCTTGCAGTTTTTCGAAGCGAATGTGCACGGCACTGAGGCGAGAACCACATCAAACAACCACACGCCTTCTATCCGTGAAGCTCGATCATTTTTTTCCCAATACTCCCTTGGTTTGGTCTTGTCTTGAATGGAGCACTAGGGTCGCCGGCTCCCTTCTCCTCCTCCCCCCCGCCACTCTCCTCTCGGCTCTCTCCTCTCGCTTCCCTCCTGGGGGCTGCGAATGGTGAAAGTATGTTGCCACTTTCGGGGTCTGCTTGGGGGGGCCAGCACATTGGGATCCCACGGATACCCAAATGGGACCTCGCTATCCCTGGGGGGTCTGCGAAGTGTGAAATTGTCGCCACTTTCGAGGGCTGCTGGTGCGCAGCGTGGGCAGATCGTGGACCCACTCGAGCACTGGTCTGACTGATCCAAATCTCCTTGCTCCGCAGAGTGATGGGCGCCGTGGCAGTCGTCCACGTGGGGTCACCGCCGAGGATAGCAGTAGCAGCCAGAGACCGTAATTGGCTGGTCGGTCTCCCGTCGCCGCGGCAGTCCAAGGTCAGAGTCCAAGTTCCCGTGATCTCATGGCGTGGGCCATGATGTCTCTCCGGGTTTCACGTGGCGCCCCTTCTTGTTTTCACGCGTTCTTGGGCCCCCCCTGGGCCGCGCGCGTGCCGCGACGGCCATGATTTGCGCTCCCCCCTCTTGGACGCCCCCCTCTTGGCCGCTCCCGAGCTTCCCTGGGCGGCCAGGCGTGCGGACCGAGCGCCCCGCAGTGCGGCCCACGCCCGACCTGACAGCGCGGCGGAGCTCCGCCGGCCCGCCTCAAGGGGCGCGAGAGCGGCCGAGCCACCTCGGCGCCCACATGCTGGCAGCTACCAGCCCGCGATATTCCACACCAGCACGTCCCCTCGTCAATCGGGAGGGAAAAAACACAGACACAATTAACCGTCGATTCCCCAGAAAAGATGGGAAAAGATGGGCAGTGGGGGGGAAGACAGAAACCCCGAAGATAAGGGAAACATATGAGGCATCTTTTTATTTTTGTGTATTTCTTTGTGTGTCCCAGGGCCCCTTCAAGAGCACAGCGCAGGCAGAAGTTGGCACCTCCCTCCCCCCCAAGGTGGGGCGGCCTCCTCCTATCTGCAGGGGGGTGCGCCTGGCGCGTTCCAGGAATGGGCCTTGCCTTAAGTGGGGCCTGTCCCTCTACAGGGGGAATGTTCAAACATGGTTGAAAAATAGTCAGGGGAGTATGTTTTGAGCATTTTTTTGCAGCCTTAGATATTTGTTGAGTATCTTTATTTTTCGTCTAAGATCCCCCTGTAGGGGGACAGGCCCTGCAAACACCGTCTCAGCCGCAGCAGGAGGGCCCCCCCCCCCCCCTCGAGAGGATAGGTGGGCGCGCGCGCCCCGTGGGCCTGCTTATCCTCGGGGCGAGGCCTCCGCCTCCCCGAGAGAACACAGAGGCCTCGCACGGGATCGTTTTTTTTTTTTTTTTTTTTTTTTTTTTTTTTTTTTTTTTTTTTTTTTTTTTTTTTTTTTTTTTGTTTTTCTCTCTCTCTCTCTCTCTCCTATTCCTCGTCTCGTCTATCGGCGCGGGAACCGCGTCCTCCCTCCGCCTCCTCCTCCGCCTCTCCTTCCTCCTCCTTTTCCTCCTCCATTCTCTTCCTCTCCTCCAGTCCTCCTCCTCCTCCTACCCTCCTCCTCCTCCTCCGTCCTCCTCCTCCCCTCCCCCTCCTCCTCCCTCCTCTCCTCCTCCTCTTCCTCCTCCTTTTCCTTCTCCTCCTCCTCCTCCTCCATCCTCCTCCTCCTCCTTCTCCTTGCCCCCTCTCCTCCTCTCCTCCTCCTCCTCCTGATGTTCTCCTCCTCCTCCTCCTCCTCCTCCTCCTCCTCCCCTCCCTCTTCCTCCTCTTTTCTCCTCCTCCTCCAGACCTCCGTTCTCCTCCTCCGGTCCTCCTCCTCCTCCTCCCCTCCTCTCCTCCTCCTCCTCCTCCTCCTCCTCCTCCTCCTCCTCCTCCTCCTCCTCCTCCCCCTCCCCCTCTCTCTTTTTAGCCGTTCTGGCGCAGGTGAGCGCTTGCGGATTCTCTTCAGAACGGCAAGGAATCCGCGGGTCAATTTTGGCTTCACAACTTTCTCGTCCATCTTTCTCCAGTCAGACTGATGTCCCATGGCCCCTGCAAGGGCGGCGGCGGCGGCGGGCAGGGCACCCCTCCCCCGTGGCGCGGCGGCGGCTCCCAGGGCTGGCAGCGGCAGGACTGGAGCTACTACGACTACGGAGGCGCCCAGTGGTCTGGCGGCAAGGGCTACGGCACGGCTGGCAGGAGCGACTGCTGGAAGTGCGTGGCATGCGGATGCGGCAAGACCACCGTCTGGGCGACTCACTGCATGCACTGCGGTGCACCGAGGCAGGCCCCCACAGTCGGCCAACATGCTCCTCTTCGTGGTGTGTGGTCTCATCAGCAGGGTCTGCTTCGAGCGCCTGGATATCACCCCCCAGGAGAGTGGTCTGCCCTCCCGCCTGGACCTCAGCTTGGCGGCGCAGCGCAAGGCACAGGCAGCGGCAGCCGAGGGCAGGATGTTCCTTTGGACGCAAAGGAGCTCCAGATGCTGGTTGCACTGTCGCGCCGCGCAGGTGACCAAGCCACAGCTGCCAAGTACCAGGGCCAGCTGGACTCCATGGCTGCGGCCGCAAAGCCGCCGCCAAAGGCCCTGCAGGACCAGGTCAGCGATCTGCATCACCGCATCAAGAAGCTCGACGGCAGGCTCGAGGCCGAACTGGCGAAGCTGGCGAGATGGCAGGATGGCATCAGGGCTCAGGAGATACCCATCCGTGATTTGTCGAAGCAGTCTGAGGCCATGGTCACAGAACATCGGCAACTGGTTGCACAGCTACACAGTGCAGTGGTTCCTCCGTCGGCCGACACCGAGCCCACGCCTGGGCCCACCTTGTCACTTCGAGACCTCGTGGACGGGCGAGTATCCAACATCGTCATCGACGACGGGGGCCTCTTCTCAGTCGATGCTGACGGCATTGAGGACTCAGATCTACAAGAGGTGGAACGGCGTCGGGCTGATTTCAAGGAGCATATCGGCAAGGCAGCCAAGGCCCTCTTCGCCGAAGCGATGGAGCGTGCGGCAGTCGCCGAAGCCGAGCACGACGGGTACCTCAAGCGCATGGCCACCAAGCGCAGGAAGGCCGCCCGTTCGGAGTCCTCCCGAGCCTGCGGGCAGCAGGCCTGTACTCTCCTCTGGGACTTTATCAAGTATTACGAGCGCATCCCTCTCGAACTCCTGGCACTTCGATGCAGGCAACATGGTTTCCCTGATGCGCTCGCCGATGTGTGCATGGCGGGATGCCGTTCTGCCCGCTTCCTGGTGCTAGCTGGAGTGGTGGCGCCTCCTACCTACGCGAGAGTTGGAATCATAGCGGGGTGTAGTTTCGCCACCACTATGATCAGAATATTTGCCCTGCGTGGCTTCGATCAACTGGAGGTCCCCAAGGGGATCACGTTCGATGCTTACATTGACGACCTCGGGATTAATGCGGTCGGGACTGCTCGGCACATCATGAAAGAACTCCCGAGAGCGGCCAAGTCCCTCGAGGAGATCATTGAGAATGTCCTTTTTGCGCAAGTCTCCCCTGACAAGGTCGGGTTGGTCGCGTCGTCTAAGGAAACCGCTAGGCATGTCCAGAAACGACTGGGGGGGGGGGGGGCTTGGAGGAGATTTCACTGAGTCTTTCGTCAACTCAGGGATTGATGACACTGCAGGCTGTGCCAGGCGAGTCCGAGGGCGCAACAGCAGAGCGAAGACGCGCTTTGCGAGAGAGTTCTAGGACCGAGGGCTACCAAGCTTTGCTCGGCTGGACCTCTGGCGGGTGGGAATTATGGGGCGGAGGTTCACGGTGTCAGTGATGGAGAGTTAACCGAGGTTAGACGCATGTGTGCCTCCACGATGAAGCCTGCCTGCGGCGGCCGAAGTTTAACCATTCTCAGCAGGATCGAAGGCGATCCCGCTTGGTGGGGTGCTGTGGCGCCAGCCCTCAGGTGGGCCAAGGAAGTCTGGGCCCGTGCCACGAGGGTCACGGCAGTTTATTTTTCTTGGGCTGAGCTCCGAAACATGTGGCACGATGTTTTCGGGCGTTCGTGGACCTGGCGTACCGTGAGCGGGCCCATCGGGGCCATGGAACTTTCCTTGGCCCGCCTGGGATTGAGTATGCCATCGCCTTTTGTTATGATCAGCGGCCTGGGGGTTGAGCATTCGCTCACTCTCACTCCTCCTTCCCTCCTTCAGGGCTTCCTCAAAGAAGGGGTTTGGCGTTCTTTGGGGAGGGGGGCGGCCCGCAAGTACGGCCCCGATGGGGTCGAGTCTTTATGTTTTGACGTCGTCACCAAAGCCCTGCGTTCGAAGAAGTTTACGGCTCGCCAGAAAGGAACGATCCGTTGTTGTGCCTGTCAAGGAATTTGGCCCTACGCCCGCGCTCGAGCAGCAGGTTGCGAAGTCGAGGATCGTTGCCCGCTATGTCTTCAGCCTGGAGACACGATGTTTCATCGGCTGTATGTGTGTACGGCGGTGGAGGAGGAGAGGAGGGCGGTGATTCCTGACAGAACTCTTGAGCAGGTTTTGAGGCAGTTCGAGGCGGTTCCTGAGAAAGAGCGGTTCCATCTCACCTCTGGCTTGTTTGGCCACCCCCAGCGTGTGTTCCCGCCCCCTAAGTCTGACAGTAAATCTGAGGAGGATGATGGTATCCAGTTTCAGTTTTTTTTTTTTTTTTTTTTTTTTTTTTTTTTTTTTTTTTTTTTTTTTTTTTTTTTTTTTTTTTTTGTTTTTTTTTTTTCGGACGGCTTCGCTGCGGAAGGCATGGAGATGCCCCGCGATGGCCGACGACAGATGTGGGGCCACGTATTTTTAGATGGCTCGTGCTCGCGCCAGGTTGTCCGCAGTTCGAATCGAGCGGGTTGGGGCTTAGCTCTGATGGGCCCTCAGTCGAACCTCTTGGCATGGTGTTGGGGGCCCGTCTGGGGCAGCTGCCCGCAGACGCCACAGGCTGGATAATTTTCGGCATGTGCTATGGCTTGCGCGCTCCTGTCTGCGCCAGCAATCCTGTATTCAGATGGCCAAAATGTTGTTTCCATGCGCGGCATGGCCCGACGCGAGCAACTTTCCCCCAAGCGTCCATACTCGGGGCTGTTGACGCAGGGTCGTTCTCTGGGGGAAAATGGGCGCTCGGATGTGTGAAAGTGCCCGCGCACCTTTCAATCGATGATCCCGAGATCGACGATGATGAGCGGTTTCGGAGGATCGGGGGCGACTTCGCCGACAGGGCCGCCAAGTTGGGGGCAGACTCCCATCAGGCGCCGTCGGAGGAGTTAGCCAACGAATGCACAGCCTTAGTGAATTCGGCACTAATGGCGGTCAAACTGTGTGCAGCGCTGCTGCCGCTCTGGCCGCGCACGGGCCTCTCCCGTGCCTTGTGGTCTGCGCCTGCTCCTGCCCCTCGCACCCCTGTCTCGCCACATCTATGGGAGTGGATGGGTCCGCCTGGAGGGGGCCAACGGTGCCTCAGGACGTCGCGCAATGCCGCTGATAAAGCGCCTGCCCCTGGCCACTGTTCTGATTCTTTGAGAGTTGATGTTCGGCGGCTTAGAGATTTAAACCACAAGTGTATCCTCCTGGATTGTTCGAGCGGGTCGTTTGTTGTCGTTTGTGCGGTGTGCCAGAGATACACTAGTGGAGCCCGCCTAGCAGCTCTCAATAAAACTTGTCCAGGTCAGAAAGTTTCTGCATGCAACTCTGACGCTTGGAACAATATCTGTAAGGGACTCCATCCTAAAGCGAAAGGGGTAACCTTACTCCCAGACACTTACAGTGTGCTTTAAGCATGCAGCGGGAGCCAACGTGCTCAAACAAATCCCCCTCCCCCTCCTCCTCCTCTCCCCCTTATTCTCCTCCCCCCCCTCCCTTCATCCCTATTCCTCCTCCTCCTCCTCCTGATTTCCCCCCCCCCCCCCTCCTCCTCCTCCTCCTCCTCCTCCTCCCCTCCCCGCCGGTCTATTCCCCCCCAGGACGCGCTGTTGCAAACAGTCGCATGAAGCAGAGCTCTGGAGCCAGACCCCCCTTCCTCCCCACCCAATATCACCCCGCCCTTGATAATACCCCATCCAGGGTAGCGAAGGAGGAGGGGGACCCAGATCCCCGACGACGTGTTTGTGGCCTAGACCCCTTCCCGGGGCCAACTCTACATCAGAGCTTTTTGTTGTCGGCGCTTGGGGCCCATCGAGGGCCCGCGGAGATCGAAAACAGGGGAAAACGTGTCCGTCGGACTTTGTACACGCCGGGAGGAAGTCTGGGAAGAGGGGTAGAACGAGGTTGAGGAGGAGGAGGAGGAGGAGGTGGAGGCGGAGGAGGAGGAGGAGGAGGAGGAGGAGGAGGAGGAGGAGGAGGAGGAGGAGGAGGAGGAGGATGGAGGCGGAGGAGGAGGAGGAGGAGGAGGAGGAGGAGGAGGAGGAGGAGGAGGAACAGTTGTGGGCGGGAGGAGGAGGAGGGGAAGGAGATCGATGAGGAGTAGGGAGGAGGAGGAAACGGGCAAGGAGGGCGAGGATAACAAGGAGGAACAAAGTGAAGGAAAGCAATAACATGAAGATGATTAGGAGGATGATGAGGAGCATGAGGACCAGTTTAAACCCAAGATGCATCAACGATGTTGCAATACACCCTCCCTCCAAATTTCCTCTTTCACAGGCCCGTGCAAACATTGTACTTCACTGCTGGAAGAGCCCCATTCAGAGGCAACCGTCTGAGAATCCACAATCTTGCCAGAACGCAGTTCTTGGGACTCCAACGTCGCGAATCAACGGGACTGTTGCATCTTGGTTTTCCTAAATCGTGCGAGAACACAATTCCCAAGACAACACTGGGAATGAGTGCGACAGTTGCGTCCTGACCGTCCTAAATCGTGCCAGGGCACCATTCCTGGGACTTCAGCCTTGCGAACTCTCGAAACTGCTGCACACTTGTAAGACGACCTTCCACCCTTGAAAACGTTTCCAATTCTACACTCCACTTTGCGCGGCGCTAAGGAGAGAGCAACCTGTCAGGAAGCGAGGAGACAGTCGAATGTGCGCGGCGCTCAGGCGATGGTCACATTTGAAGACGGCCCGCTTTCCATGACATTGTTGCAAACTTTGTGAACATGTGCGCGGCGCTGAGGCGATAGTCACTTTTTGACACCGTCCCGCCCTCCAGCCTCTTAACTGTTCAAGATGTCAGACGTCAGGATCTTGAGTTGTGAGGAAGTCTCTGGCGAAACCCCCGGCCCGCCCTTCGGACACGGAAACACCCGGCCCGCCCTACAGACACGTCTGGGGGTGGACAGGGATGGAGGGGGAGGAGGAGGGGGAGGAGGAGGAGGAGGAGGAGGAGGAAGAGGAGGAGGAGGAGGAGGAGGAGGAGGAGGAGGAGGAAGAGGAGGTGGACATGGTCGAAGGTAAGGGGGAGGAGATGGAGGATGGAGAGGCCTGTTCCTCCTTATTCCTCGACCTGCTGCTGCTTCTTCTCCCTCTCCTCCTGCCCCTTCTCCTCCTCCTGCTCCTCCTTCTCCTCCTCCTCCCTCTCGTCCTTCTCTTCCTCCTCATCCTCTGGCTTACTGGTCGTCGTCGTCGTCGTCGTCGTCGCCGCCGTTGTCGTCGTCGAGTGGGGCGAGACCGAGGAGTTCCCCTCCACCCCTCGCGATGCGCGACGCGCGGACATCTTCACGCCCTTGCGAGGCCACCCCGGAGGTGCAGCCCCTCCGGATGAGGCCGCGACCCGCGACCACAGGCTATCTTTGCGCCACTGGGGGTGACCTGGATCTTCGATGCTTCAACGGCGCCCTCGAGGGCGCGAAGCTATTCGCGCTTCGCGCTTCGTGGTTCGGCTCCGACTCCTCATTCTGCTCTTCTCCACCTGGTGGGCGGCGCGAGGGTGCGAAGTGGCTCGCGCTTCTCAACTCGTGCTTCGCGCAGCGCGAAGCGCGAAGTCAGGCGCCCTCGATGCTTCCTCCCACCCCCTCCTTGATCGGTGGCCACACGTGAACCCTACCCCCACCGACCGAGACTTCTAAGGGGGGGTGGGGGCTCACATCGTCCAGGAGCTCCCGAGCGCCCCACCCTTCGAACTCGTGGGGCGTGGGGGCAGGGTTCAACTGTAGCCACCTGCTTGATCCTCCTCCTCCTGCTGCTGCTGCTCCTCCTCCTCCTCCTCCTCCCGCCCTCCTCCTCCTCCTCCTCCTCCCCCCTCCTCCTCCTCCTCCTCTTCCCCCCCTCCTCCTCCTCCTCCTCCTCTCCTCCTCCTCCTCTCTCCTCTCCTCCTCCTCCTCTCCTCCTCCTCCTCCTCCTCCTCCTCCTCCTCCTCCTCTCCTCTCCTGCTCCTCGTCCTCCTCCTCCTCCTCCTCCTCTTCCTCTCCTCCTCCCCCCCCGTCTCCTCCTCCTCCCCTCCTCTCTCCTCCTCCTCCCTCCTCCTCCTCGTCCTTCGCCTCCTCCCTCTCCTCCTCCTCCTTCTCCTGCTCCTCCTCCTCCTCCTCCTCCTCCTCCTCCTCCTCTTCTCCTACTCCTCCTCCCTCCTCCTCCCTCCCTCCCTCCCTCCCCCCCTCCCTCCCTCCCTCCTCCTCCCTCCCTCCCCCCCCCCAGGGAACGGCGCCGGCTCCCCGCGCCCTGGGCGGGCGGCCGCGCTGCAGGCGCCGCCGTTTGCGCCGCAGCCGCTTGCGCCGCCGCCGCGCGCGAGAGGCACGCCGCTCGCGCTCGTCGGCGGGTCGAGGAGGGGGGAGGGGGAGGTGGGATCGAGGAGAGGAGGAGGAGGAGGAGGAGGAGGAGGAGGAGGAGGAGGAGAGAGGAGGAGGAGGAGTCAGTATTTTTTAATCGACCCCCACCCCCGTCCTCACCCCCTTCGAGACCCCCACCAAATTACCCCCCCAGTTGTGGATACACCCCTCGAAACCCATCTAGGGGGGTAAATCGGCCAGTGGGGCCCAGTCCACGCCGCTGGGGATAGGGGTCGGATAATGATGCACAGGATCGAGGAGGGGGGAGGGGACGGGGGATCGAGGAGGTGTGTCGTACGTACGACGAAGCCAGGACGAGGATCAAATCGGGAGGGGGGCGAGTCGCGGATCTCTGCGATCCCGCGGCCCTGGAGGATGCCTTGGGCGCCGCGGCCCTCTCGGAGCGTTCCGGAACGCTCTGAGAGCGTTCCGGAACGCTCGGGAGCGGGTTCACTTTCGTGCTGGCCCCGTCCCGTGTCGAGCGAGGATTTAGGTTACCCCCCTGAGCGCGTAGACGATGTCTGCTTCGCGCGTCGCGGCCTCGGAAAGAGGGGCCACTCTTCTCCAGAGTGGCCTCGCGAGGGCGCGAGGATATCATCGCGTGTCGCGAGCTGCGGGGTGCGATAGGCGAATTCAGGTGACCTAGAGTCGGGGGCGTCTCGGGGGTGCACAGAACCCCCACACTGCCACGTCGATTAGTGAATTGTCCGTTTTTGGTTCTCGAGATGGCGTCGCGGCCGTCATTTTCCAGGCTTGCGCCCGCCAGGTTTGGGCCCGAGGTCGTCTTCACTAAACCACGTTTTACTGAAGGGGGGTCTGCCCATCCCCGAGCGGCGAGGATGGGGTAAGGACTAAAATGCGCGCGCACGTGTGTGTGTGTGTGTGTGTGTGTGTGTGTGTGTGTGTGTGTGTCTGTGTGTGTGTGTGTGCGTGTGTGCGTGTGTGTGTGTGTGTGTGTGTGTGTGTGTGTGTGTGTTTGGATGTTGCCTCGCTGGCACTGCCGGCTGTCTCGGCCCCGCGGGCTGCGCGCCGGCGCGCGCTCCATCCCTCTGCCTCGTCGCTGTCGGTGGGTCCAGCCAGGAGATCCAGCTGCGTGTAGCCGATCTGCTGATTTGCCCTTGTCATGGTGCCAGCATCGCAGAGCGGATTTCGTTCGAAGAACAGTGGGATGGGCGTGGACTGTCCTGGAGAGTGCCGTGCCGGATTTCGAGGTGACGTTCGCGCGGATTTTAGATGGCCGGGAATGAAGACTTCAAATACCACGCGAAATTCGCTACGTCATTTACTCGCCGTGTTGCATTGACAGAAATCTACGCACAAATTCGCTGCAGCACGTCTGCAAGGTCGGTGCAGTGACCCTTTGTCCCCTCATTGCGTCCGACCAGAGCGGGTCTATGGTGCAAGGGTCGAGGATTCAGGGTCTAGGGTCGAGGGTCGAGGGTCCAGGGTCGCGGGTCCAGGGAAGAGGGTCTAGGGTCGAGGTTCGAGTGTCGAGGATCGAGTGTCGAGGATCGATATTTTTATTCTCTTTCACAGCTGTGTTCTAGAGCTCGGACCTCTTCATTTTCGTGGTTTGTTTGTTCGTTCGTGGTTCGTCCTCCTCCCGTCCTCGCCTGGTTCCTCCTCTTCCCCTGGCCTCCTCCCGCTGCACCATGGCCTCCCTGTTCCTCCTCTTCCCCTGGACCATGGCCTCCCGTTGCCCCCCCCCGCCTGGCTTCGTTTTCCTGAGGCCTGGGCCACCCGCTGACCTTCCCCTGCTTCCCTGGGCCCTGCCCCCGGGCCTCCCAGGGCAGCTCCCCTGGGCCGCGGAACCCTGTACTTCTGTGGTTCGTTCGTTCGTGGCTCGTCCTCCTCCCCCAGTCACCTCCAGCGCTGTGGTGAACGCAATAACTGTGGTGTACACAGGCGCTGCGTTGCACACGTCTGTTGCGGTGTACGCAAGCGCTGTGGTGTACACGCGCGCTGTGGTGCACTCAAGCATTGTGGTGTACACAGGCGCTGCGGGGCGGCAGATCGCGCCACCTACATGCTGCTTCTAGTTGGCCTCGGGCATCCCCAGGCATTCCTGGACGCCGCCGGCGCGGAAGGTGACGTCGTCTGGGGGGGGGCGGGGCCAATCACGGCGGTATCCTGTGGTGCTGGAGCCACACGGCGGGGGGGGGGCTTTACGTCATACCCCCCCGGGCCCCCCCCCCATGACGCCCGTCATCGCCGAAAATAAAGAAACGCGCTCTTGTTTTCCTACGGGGCGCTTCCCGCAGTGGACGTATTCCTTCTAGGAGCCTGTGAAGAGGGAATTTGGGAGTGTCTATTGCAACGTCGTTGAGATGAGTCTTGGATTTGCATTGGTCCTCCTCCTCCTCCTCCTCCTCCTCCTCTCCCCCTCTTCTTCCTCCCCCCCTCCCTTCTCCTCCTCCTCCCTCCTCTTTCTCCTCCTCCTCCTCCTCCCGCCCCCTTATCTCCTCCTCTCTCCTCCTCCTCCTCCTCCTCCTCCTCCTCCCCCCTCCTCTCTTCTCCTCCTCCTCCTCCTCCTCCTCCTCCTCCTCCTCCTCCTCCTCCTCCTCCTCCTCCCTCCTTCTCTTCTTTCCCCTTGTTGCGAGGGCCTGCCTGCCCGCCAGGCGGAGGCCGCTCGCCAGGGCGCGCCCGCCACGCCGCCCCTGCCGCCCTCGCCGCCCTCGCCGGTGCAGGCGGGCCCCGCGCGACTCGGGGGCTACGCGGCGGGTTCAGCGCCAGCGACGGTCCGCCAATCTCCTCCGATCCCCGCTGGCTGACTGATTTTATGTCGGGCGTGTCCCCCTACAGGGGGATTTTCGACGAAAAAATTACAAATAGCCCAACAATGCCCCAAGAAGGTCAAAACATACTAAAAAAATAGTCACCAGACTATTTTTTGATTATTTTTTGATTATTGTTTGATTATTTTTGGGGTATCTTTTATTTTTCGTCGAAAATCCCCCTGTAGCGGGACCAGCCCGACTTAACGCTAGCGACGGTCCGCCAATCTCCTCCGATCCCCGCTGGCTGACTGATTCGGGTCTGAGAGGCACTCGTAGCCTCAGCGGCAACGTAAAGGGTACAGTGCCATTTTTCCAAACCATCCTGTGGTGATGGGTCCTCGTTTTGAAGAGACGGTTCCCGCGTTCCTTCTGCTCCTCCTCGGCCCCCTCCTCCTCCTGCCGTCCGCATGCGTCCCCCCCACCCAGTACAGCGCTTCGTGGCCCCATAGGGAGCCCCACCGAAGGTCCCAGTGCTATCGTCCGCATGCGTCCCCCCAACTCAGTACAGTGTTTCGTGGCCCCATAAGGAGCTCCACCGAAGGCCCCAGTGCCACCGTCCACATGCGTCCCCCCCACTCAGTACAGCGTTTCGTGGCCCCACAGGGAGCTCCACCGAAGGCCCCAGTGCCACCGTCCACATGCGTCCCCCCCACTCAGTACAGCGTTTCGTGGCCCCATAGGGAGCTCCACCAAAGGCCCCAGTGCCACCGTCCACATGCGTCCCCCCCACTCAGTACAGCGTTTCGTGGCCGGAGCTCCACCGAAGGCCCCAGCTCCACCGAAGGCCCCTCCACATGCGTCCCCGCCCACTAAGGACAGCGTTTCGTGGCCCATAGGGAGCTCCACCGACGGCCCCAGTGCCACCGTCCACATGCGTCCGCTCCACCGGAGTACAGCGTTTCGTGGCCCCATAGGGAGCTCCACCGAAGGCCCCAGTGCCACCGTCCATATGCGTCCCCCCCCACCCAGTACAGCGTTTCGTGGCCCCATCCCCCCACTCAATACCAGCGTCTCGTGGCCCCATACGGAGCTCCACCGAAGGCCCAGTGCCACGACCGTCACATGCGTCCCCCGCACTCAGTACAGCGTTTCGTGGCGTGGCCCATAGGGAGCTCCACCGAAGGCCCCAGTGCCACCGTCCACATGCGTTCCCCCACTCAGTACATCAGCGTTTTGACTCAGTAGGGAGCTCCACCGAAGGCCCCAGTGCCACCGTCCACATGCGTCCCCCCCACTAAGTACAGCGTTTCGTGGCCCCATGGGGAGCTCTTCCGAAGGCCCCAGTGCCACCGTCCATATGCGTCCCCCCCACTCAGTACAGCGTTTCGTGGCCCCATAGGAAGCTCCACCGAAGGCCCCAGTGCCACCGTCCACATGCGCCCCCCTACTCAGTACAGCGTTTTCGTGGCCACATAGGGAGCTCCACCGAAGGCCCCAGTGCCACCGTCCACATGCGTCCCCTCCACTCAGTGCAGCGTTTCGTGGCCCCATAGGGAGCCCCACCGAAGGTCACAGTGCTACCGTCCACATTCGTCCCCCCCACTCAGTACAGCGTTTGGTGGCCCCATGGGGAGCTCTACCGAAGCCCCCAGTGGGACCGTCCGAGTGCGTCCTGAAACACCCAATTTGGCATTTTCACCCACCCATTACAGCGTTTCGTGGCCCCACAGGGAGCTCCACCGAAGGCCCGAGTGCCACCGTCCGCATGCGTCCCGCACACCCAATGTGGCATTTTCACCCACCCAGGGCAGCGTTTCGTGGCCCCAAAGGGAGCTCCACCGAAGGCCCCAGTGGGACCGTCCGCAAGCGTCCCGAAACACCCATTGTGGCATTGTCACCCACCCAGTCCAGAATTTCGTGGCCCCATAGGGAACTCCACCGAAGGCCCCAGTGCCACCTTCCGCATGCGTCCCGAAAACCCAACGTGGCATTTTTACCCACCCAATACAGCGTTTCGTGGCCCCTTAGTGAGCCCCACCGAAGCTCCCAGTGGGACCGTCCGCATGCGTCCCGGAAGCCCAATTTGGCATTTTCACTCACCCAGTACGTACAGCGTTTCGTGGCCCCATAGGGAGTTCCACCGAAGCCTCCAGTGGGACCGTCCGCATGCGTCCCGGAAGACCAATTTGGCATTATCACTTACCCAGTGCAGCGTTTCGTGGCCCCATAGGGAGCTCCACCGAGGCCCCCAGTGGGACCGTCCGCATGCGTCCCGGAAACCTTACTTGACACACCACTCACCCAGAACAGCGTTCCCCCCCACCCAATGCAGCGCTTCGTGGCCCCATAGGGAGTTTCACCGAAATTGTGGTACCCACAACTGCATATGGTTGGGGTTTTCGCCAGGATAGTTAATACATGCTCCGCGTGCGGATCATGTATTTAAAATGCAGGGATTTAGTATTCAAAACAACGATGAGTTCATGCATACATTTATTCATGCATGAATCATGTATTAAACATCCCATATTTTTAAGAAATCCCATGCATTCAAAACTGCCCTGTAATCACCAAGGGGGTACTTTGCAGATCTGCCGAGAGTTGCCACTTTTGGGTCTCTCTGTGGCATGGCAGCGCTGCCCACATCGGGGAGGGCTGGGTTCGCCGGGCCCCGGGCCGAAGTGCCCCCTTTGGTGGAGGCCCCGTCAGAGGGGCGTCGACAGCCGACCGTCCCTCCCCTGCCCTGCGCTGGCCCGGGCCTGGGGGTCCACGTGGCCGGCCCAGGCTCGTGCAGGAGGGAAAGAAGCACACAGACACAATGAATCGTCGACTCCCAGGAAAATATACGAAAACATGGGAAGTGGGGGGGGGAAGACAAAAACATAGAAAACATGGGGACATATAGGGGATCCTGTTATTTGTGTGTATTTATTTGTGTGTCCCAGGGCCCCTTCATTCCTGACGTGGCTCCCGCTGGCCCGGATCCATCAGCGCTGGCCCGGATTCGCGCGTCCCTTCGTGACGGCGACGACGACGACACGTCGTTGTCGTCGACGACCTCTGACGCCGATGGCGGCGAGGGCGACGTTGTCGGCGACGTCGTCGACGGCAGGGGCGGCAGTGATGATCACGACCAACAGTCAGAACATTGTCAACAAATGTTCAAAACTAGTACGAAATCATCCCCAGACTATTTTCAAGCTAGTTTTGAATATTTCTCCTGTAGAGGGACACGCCCGACTTAATCCTAGAGGCCAAGTGAGCTGCCCTCGACGTCCGTGCAGCAGCAGCGGGAACTGCAGTGGCGGGACCATGTGGACACCGATGGTCCTGGGCGTGGGCAAGTCAAGTCAAGCCTGGCGCCCGCACGGCGCATTGGCAGATAAAAAGTTGCGCGCGCTCAATTGCGAGGGGGGGGAGGAGAGGAGAGGAAGGGGCGGGACAGGAGGGGCAAGGGGAGGAAGGAAAACGCCCAAAACAATTTGGTTAACATGTCTCAAATGTTCGGCGCGACCACCTCGCATCCGCCTCGACGTCCTTCAGAGGTTCCCAGAGGCTCGGGTCGGGGGGCCTCCTGGGCCGTCCTGGGGCCATCTTGGGCCGTCGTGAGGCCACCTTGAGCAGTCTTGAGGCATTCTTGGGCCCCCAAGAAGTCCCAAAGGCCGAAATGGAAGATTTCCTGTGGATTTCTGTGGCTTCTGAGGCCCAGGAGGGGTCCTCCATCGAGGGGTCGACAGGAGTGGCGCGACCCCTGGGGGGGGGGGGGCTACTCGTAAAATATTACCGTATGAGGCAAGTTTGCCATGATCGGATGCAGTGGATACGTTGCATTACAGCCTTCTCGGAAAACGCTGCCGCAAAGCACGTCACCTCTGGATTGTATAGGGCCGAAGGGTCAGGTTTGCAGACGCCCAGGAACGGGCGTCAAGGGGTGCAACCACTCTGCGCGCTTTCACCGAGGGCTTCAGCTGCCCCCCCCCCCCCCCCCTGATGTGCCCTCCCTTGACGCCCCCCTCTTGAGGCACCCCCTCGAGGCCCCCCCTGGATGCACCCCGTGACGTCACCCTTTCTGATGGTCCTGCAGACGAGGGCGCTCTCTGCCTCTCGGCCCTGCTCAGCCTCTGGACGTGGATTCTCCCCTCTCCTCGCGGTCCGCCCGGGGGCGGCCCTGCCCAGCTTCGGCCCCCAGAGGGGGGGGGGGGCGTCTTCTCCGAGGTGCCTCTGGGTCGTGCTCGGGGGCCCTTCTGGGCCATCTTGGGGCCGCTGTCTGCAATCGACAGCGAGCGGCTTGAATGAGGAACCCTTACTTGTCAAGAGGGGCTCGGTCGTTCCTTAGGCTTGCATGCGTCATTCATCTTTCCCTGTGCGTTATTTATCATTCATCGTTCCTTCTGGGTTACTCCTTGGAAAAAGGGGCTTCGTTCCTCATTTATCGTTCCTAACTGTAGGGCCCCCCTGGGGGCCGTCTTGGGGCCCTCTTGCGGGCCCCTTGAGCCGTCGTGGGGCCGTCTTGGATGCTGCCGGGGCCGTCATGGCCCCCCGAGAGTCCCCATGGAGCGAGTCCGCGCAAGTCCGTAAAGCACACGCGGTGAAACGGCAATGGTTTGGGCTTCATGGAGCTTTCTTGGGTGTCCTCTCGGGGCCGTCTTTGGGGCCCGCTTGGGCGCCTCTTGGGCCCTCTTGGGGCCATCTTCTTGGACTGTCTTGAGGCCATCTTGAGCCGTTTTGAGACATTCTTGGGCCCCGGCGAGGCCCAAGCGACCAACAGACATGTTTTCGGTCAGTTTTGAAGCTCAGAGGAGGTCCTCCAGTCTTGGGTCGACGGAAGTGGCGCGACTCTGGGGGGAAGATGGAGGTGACATAATCATGTAGAACCCACGTCCAGAAGTGATCTTTTGCCGGAGGTAGGTCGCGTAGCGGAGCGGAAGCCCTAATGCAACGTATCCCGTACATCGAATTGTGCATACATC